GATCATCTTTTAATAATACACCAAAACAACCTGGTGCCCAGTACAGTGGTGGTTCTAATAATGAGATCCATTTCTATAAACTCTCAACAGGTCAGAGCACTCAGCACATACAGTTTATATTAATATAATGAAGTATTGTTATTTGGTGGTTCTCCACTCAGACTGGTTGCATTGAGAATTGCTTGCTTGTTTGTTCATGGTTGTCACTCCTAATTATTTGATAATATGATCAAAGAAATATCAACTAGTTTGCTCCACCCAATGCATTCCATTCACACTAATTATTATTATTGATATTTTTAGGACAATGGATATCACCGACTGTCACTGGAGACAGACCACCTCCTATTAATGACTTCACTTTAACATCAATTAATAATTCCAGTGCTATATTATTTGGAGGTGGCACTGGTAATAGACTCAGTAACAATGTATATATTCTTAATTTTACTGATACATCAGTGGTGAGTGTATTATTAGTATAATTACATTAATTATTAATTAATAATGTATTGTATGTGTGTATTATTATTCATAACACTGAGTTTGTGGGTGTGGTTGATGATAATTATTATTAACGACCTGGGGGCGAAGCCCCCAGGTTGTTCCTATAATTGAATTCACCGTTGCGCTATGTATATATATATATATATATATATATATATATATATATATATTTATTTGTATGTCCACACTTACATTTCTTCTATACATGTTGTATTGGAGAAATAACAAGCCTTTGCAACCACCCGCCCACGCTCCTTTACGTGAGTGGGTCTGGCCACAGTAAACAAAATGGCGGTTTACACATGGGACAAAGTTAAGAGCTTTCTAACAGCAAGAGAGCATAGAGATACTGTCTAAAGACTTCTCTAGAAGCATTATAAGGTAGAGAGAACCTCTATAAGTCTTAATAATGACCAAGTTGTACTTGCAAGGTGGTGAAATCAATTATAGGAATATTTTTTACACTGTTACGCTTGTTTTTAGAACTATTTAAAGTTATCTAATCCTGGAGGATCAGTACAATGGCCTAAGGAAAGACGTGCTCATTCCAGTGTATTGATTAACACTAGCTCAGGACCACACCTACTAGTGGTGGGTGGTACTACAGATGTTTGGATATTTGATATTAACAATAAATCATGGAAGCAACTGGTAAGTATAATTATTATTATTGTGGTGTGGTTTAGACATTTTGGGTGGATACATGATGATGAATGCTACAAATTTTATTTATTATAGTCCTCCTTTATGTGTATAGATTAATTTACCAGTCAATGTCACTGATAGATGGTTTCATTCTCTCTCAGTTTGGAGTGTAACTCCCACCACTAACTGGATAATTGTGTTTGGAGGAGGCTCATTATACAGAGATACAGCAGTTATTGAACTCAGTGAGTACATGTATGTAT